GAAGTACACTACCAAAACTGTCCTGTTTTGGTGATTATGGTTAAGTTTCCACATAGTAAACTGAAATATGGAATACTGTTTTTATAAGATAGCATTTGCATTTTGTAAAAGCATATAGAATGATGTGTGCATGCAAATTCTTTGGATGTATGTCATAATAGAAATAGCCTCTCGAGTTCTATTCTTTAAATATATCAATTAAATCATTATTATACCTCCTCCATATTCTTGGCATTTGAGTCTGTGAGTATGTGTGTGTGTGTGTGTATGTGTGTGTGTAAGGACACACTCATGATGATTTCCACAGTTTTTCTAACCATAAATATCAATCTGTTAAAACTGCCAACATGGCAGTTTAAAAGACTTTATGTTGATTTTGCATGTCTTTAATATTTCATAAATATAAGCATCTTTTCATATACACTTTTGGCCATCGTACACATTATTCAGATGTCTGCTACACTGCTTGTCCATTCTCCTGTTTCTTCTTTGTGATTTTTAAAACATTTTATTTTTTATTTTTATTTTATGTGTATGGGTGTATTGCCTGCATGTATGTGAGTGCACCCATGTCCTGCAATGCCATGGAGGTCAGAAGAGGGTTGTCCTAGTTTGTTTCTCCATTGCTGTGACAAAACACTCTGACCACTACCAACTTGGGGAGGAAAGGCTTTATTCAGTTTACATCTCCCTGATCACAGTTCATTAGGAATCCCAAGGTAGGAACTCAGGGCAGGAACCTGGAGGCAGGAGCTAGTGCACAGGCCATGAAGGAACACTGGTTACTGACTTGCTCCCCCAGCCCCTGCTCAGCCTGCTTTCTTATACAACACAGGGCCACCTGCCTAGGGGAGGCACCACCCATAGTGGGCTGGGGGGCCTTCCCACATCACTCAACAATCATGAAGGTGCCCCATGGGCATGGCCACAGGCCAGTCCAATGAAGGCAATTCCCCAATTTAGGCTCCCTCAACCCAGGTGTGTCAAGTTGACATCAAAGATATCCAGCACAAGGGTGCTGGATTCCCCTGGAACCGAGTTAAGGAAGGTTCTTAGCTGCCATGTGCATGCTGGGAATTGAACCCAGGTCTTCTGCAAGAGCAGTCAGTGCTCTTACCTGCTGAGTTATCACTCCAGCCCTTTTTGTGAGTTTTATGAAGTATTTTAGCATATCAGAATCTCCTGATAGTCTGTCTATAAGGAAACTTTCTGTCCCAGATGTTAGTTTGTAGAGTTGATAGCAATCCAATAAGCTTATCATAATTGGGAAATCAAAAAAAAAAGAGATGTAACAGGAACTGAGGAGGCACCTTCTTGCCTGGGGAACCCAAAAATGTTAATAATTGAGTCACGACACAGTTTGGCATATTTACTCCTTGTAAATGTCTGGGTGTTGAAATTTTCATCAGTAGATGAAATTGATGTAATGGTCTCACTTTCTAACCTTAGGTTTTGCATCCACACTGCCGCCTCACCTTTCCTCGCAGCCCGACCTGCAGGCGCCCTCTACCAGAGGAGCTGACACTCAGACACTCAGCAACCAGGCTGACCTTACCACACTCACGCCTGCTGCCGGTGGGCACAATCTATCAGGTTTGCGGGACCTTTAGACATGTGCAAGCAGGATAAGAATTTAGCAGTTCGCATTTAGGAGTGGAGTGCGGAAGTGCAGTCACCGGTTCAATGTGGAGTCCATGCTGGCTGATAAATTAGGAAATTCAGAGTCACTCTTAGGATGTGAAACCTTGTTAGGTCATTCTAACAGAGATGAAAGCACAATCAGAATTATTACAGCAAAAATGGGCTCAAGAGGAAATGATAACCTGATACTGTAGTTCTCTGTACTTCATACAGTATTGTTTAATGAAACTTCTTTTGCTAGTAATAAAGAATAATATACACTAATCTTTAAGACCTTGAACCAACAGATTACTGTCAAGAGAAGATTCTTATTATCCATGAAAACTTGTCCTCTAAGGAATGAGAAAGAGACGCTCACGTTTTCCATTCAATACCAGACTTACTTTCAACATCATATCTGTTCTTACAACAGTGTAAAATTGTCTCTCCTTGCTCTTCCAAATCAGTGTATAAATCATTTCATGGTGCCCCTCTTTATGAAAGAAAACAAGTATGTCCTTTCTCAGGTTGTAGGTCCCTACAGCCGGACATATAAATTCAGCGGGCTGGGTTCTTGCCATTTAGACATCTATGTGGGGGCCTCCTGGCTGGCAGGAAAGAGGTCTTGCTTTAGGAATGAATCAGGCATGGAAATCAAGCTCACAAATAAGATATTGTTATTTGGAAGTGTTAATATTGCTCCCTCAGCCTAAAAGCTATCACAGGCAATTCACATATGTTAAACAATTTAGAGATACCCTCACCCTGCCACATCCCACTTACTCCAGCTGCCATGGAAACCAGAGTAAAATAATGTGACATTTTAGCAAATCCGTAGATGCAGAAGTTGTGGAAGGAAAGAAGCAGTGACCAGAGGACTGGTCCCTGAGAGCTGTCCTCACACAAACCAGCCTGCTTTGCCCTTGATCAAAGAATTCTTGGCTCATTGGCTAATTTTACTAATTAAAGATGTATCAAACTTAGTCAATCTAATTAAAGTTGCAAATGGTGCTCTTAAACGGTGGCTGAGAGTATCTAGCTAATGAGGGAAAAAGTTTTCAAATGAGGAGGGACACTAGGGAATCTGGAGAGGGTGAGAGTAGGGGTTCGAGACAGCAGGAGGACAAGAGGAGGCTGGGAGGAAGAAGTAGGGGCTAGAGAGGGGGAAGTAGAAAAGAAGGCGGAAGGAGGCTGACAGGCAAATGCAGCTGTTTCTGAAATTTACAGATGGCCAGTTTGTGTTTAAATGAAACCTTCACAGGACAGAATGCACAGACCTGCTTTCCTGTCATTTTAAATATCTTCATGGTTTCCAGAACTGTTTTCATTCTATTCTGTGGTTTAGACAAACTTGAGAGTTTAGAGGCTTTTGAAGACTGAGCTGAGATCAAACTCAATTGGGAGGGAGATGCATTTCGAGTTCCCAAAGCATGTGTGTGATAATATATAGACTCACTCCAAACAATTGAGAGATGCCACATACTCATATCAAAGCTGTGTTCAGAACAGGCAATGGATCACCGATGAAACACAGAGCACTGTACTGAACACTGAAGCATGTGCTCTCTGACCTCACAAGGAAAACTAGTTCCCATGACTGAACTGAATATCCTGGGGATCTCAACTTGAGATAACCAGAGCTCTCAAACAGGGGCTAGCTCATATCTGCTTTACTTTCTCTGCGACAGTTACTTAGTGCTGGTCATCTGGTGGGTAACCAATGAGTATACGTTGCTCACCTCTTCCAGAGTTCTGGCTGTGATATATGGGGAAAGATGTAATATGTATTAAGTGCTTTGAAGTCCAACTTCAAATGAATGTCTAAGCAGGATCTGCAGATTAATTAGCTGTAAAACTAGAGTCTACACTGATGAGATCAGATAAAATTGGAAACTAACAGAGTTGTGTCAGTTTAACGGAAAGTGTTTTGGTTCAAAACCAATTTCATTTCTTTCTGACATCAGAGCCTACTTAGTGAAAGCAGAATTGTAACCATAAGAAAGAGAATCTCCAGGCTCAGATCTGCACAGGAAGGAGTCCATTCAGTTCTATTTAAAGAAAATAAGAACTAAGCACCTGTGCACAGGGATCGTTCCCCAGAGGGGCAGCCATGATGGCTGTCAGCTGGAGCCAGGCCCCTCTTATAGGAGTCACATTTGCCTGGTGTGGCCTCAGCACTACCTAGACAGTGCCTCTCTCTCCTTGCTTTGATGAATTTTTAATAGCACCTAAGGCAGTCCTGGGCGGAGAGGCTTGACGTCCCTGGGTGATCTAAACTATTATGCAAGGCCCCGGCTATGTTTTTAGTCTGTAGACTAATACCAGAGCTACATGGGTTTCCCATTGTCTGCCCATAAGGTGTTCTTTTCTGCAAGTCCTCTTATTCTGTATGTTCTGTGGAACGCATACATCGTGGTATGGCAGAGATGCCTGGTTGCTCAGTGCCCTGCCTTAGCTGTGTTGGGTGTCTAGCCACTGTCTTTCTGCGGCAGGCTGGAGTGAAGTGCTGGTGGCTCTTTGATTGCAGGTGTGCGGGGGGAGAAGACTACACCTGGAGCCTTTCCTGCAGACGCAGCCCTCCCCGAAGCCACCCTCAGCTCTGCACGCAACAGCTCTGCTGCCTCACCTGCACACACCTCCAACATCAGCACCACAGATCACTCCTCAGGTGTGACCATTATGTGCCATGTGGTTTAGGCTATGGAGGCTCAAAACTTGAATTCGTTTTTAAAAAATTTTCCTGCAGCTGTTATTTTCATTTTAATACAAAATTAGGCAAAAGAACCTTATGTGGAAACTTTTGCAGGACACATGTGATTTTATTATTAATAGAAATTTCATGACAAAGAGAGCATTAAATAGACATAAAGGTCTTATAATCCTGGATCAAATCCAACTTCTTCAATTTTCTAACCAATCTAGGAAAAGTTACTAGTACTAATTTTCTCCTCTGTAAAAGTGGATCTAATAATACTCATTTCATAAGATTGATATGAAGACTGAATATGCAAAAGGTTTGCCATAATGGATATAACAAAGGTAACCACTGCTCTAATTACATCTAAAATAAGGAGATTTGTAATTCAAACAGAAAATGCTAGTTTGAGGAAGATTGCATATCAGGTAAGACTTGTACTAAGGAGTCAATGGCCTTCCTTTCCACTTATGTTTAAAATTACTTGAAATGTTAGTTTTCTGAAAGGGCTATTTGTACCTAAGTGTGGCTCACTTTGTTATTTTGAAATGTCCACGTGTCAATTCAAATGAGGACGCCTAGAGCTAAGAATCAATTAGGAAATTATGTTTGCTAAAGAGTTTTGACCTCAACCTTCAAGATGATAAGTTCATTAACATTTATCCTTCTGTTCATTTCCTTGCAGGTTTCAGCCTTACAGTCACTGCATCATCCACTCTGAACCTTGCAACAGACATTGTCACTCCAAGCACTGCAATAGGTGACAACCTTACCCTCAGTCATGCAGGCACACCACCACCAGTGCCGGGGGTGTCCCACAGAGCTCCCCAACTTCTCTACTTTGGACTGCTTTCTTTGTGGAGTTTATTCAGAGTTCTCATCCCAACGGGTGCAAGCAGAAGTTAGACACCTATCCATGTAGCAGAGTCATTTCTGGGACCACTGGGATATGTTACTGCCATGACTAACAAGATTTGTGTAGTTTATGAAAGCACGCATGAGAAATAACCAAATCTGTTAGAACTTATTTCTTGAAGAGCAAATATAGTGTGCAAAAAAGTAATTCCACCAAAGATATCCTTCATTCCATGTAGGAGAGGCAGTAGACTCATTACAGTTTCAGGCAGGTAGTGAGGGGTATGGAGACGAAGGTCAGGCCCCTCCTGGGAAGGGCTACAGCAAGCAGTGGCACTGTCTATGGTCAGTGAAGCCAGAGCCTGCAAGCATACCATTCTCTCCCAGGTTCTTCCAACTCTAAGAAGATTAGCAGAGATCTCGTTGCTTCCCAAGACCACATTTCCTCTCAACCCTTTAATTAAATGCACACATTAATACAAGACACTTGGTTTTTATGTACGTGGGAAGCATGCAGAGGTTAAACTAGGGAACAAAGTAGCCCTTCTCTCTTAATCCCTGATTTTTAAAACAAAAATGTACAACCTTCACTCTATGGGAGCTATAATTATGGAAATCTAGTTTGAGATTAGCAAAAGAGAATGGGGACCTGTAAAATACTTTAGGCACTGTAGAGATGTGGTCTTGTCAGCATGCTGACATCAGATCTATGCCAACAAGTCTTAATATTGGTACATTTGTGTTTACTGGATACCATAATAAGGATATTTTATATAATTATATAATTTGAGCCTTAGTTTATAACATTTGCAGCTTTTGGATAAAAATAAGATTCTAGGCAAGCTGCATTATGTGGTAAACCAAAGGAGATTGACTTCACAGTTTATGATGTTGGAACATTGTAAATCACTTTCTCCCCAATGAGCAGAGCAGATACATTCTAAAACCAAACTTTAATAATTTGCCCCTTTTTTTCTGTTACAGCTACAACTCAACCTAAACCATCATGTGGTAAGCCTGTTTACTTAGAGGCAGCCTATATAACTTGGGAATAGCATTTTGATTATTTCTGTCTTCATTCCATGCTTTCAAGCTCAACTCACTGTCTCTAATTTCTCATGACTAGCTCTAAATCTTAAGAGTCATTATCTCAGTGGCAAGATGCTTGAGTTGCACATTCCAAATTGACTTTGAATACCAGTACTAAAAACTACTAGCCAGGCAACCTTGATGACGTCATCTAATTACACTTTAGGTATTTGAAAAATGAAATGAAAGTAAGTTTGCTTTGAGTCGGGATAAGGATACTATATGAGGCTAAACAGTGTTTGCCTCTCTGTTTCTTTGTCGCTTGCTCTCTTTCTCTCTTCCCCTTCTGTCGTGCGAGGGCCATCTCTGTATAGTTATGTGTGAGGACAGCGTAAGTCTATCTGCTCTCATTTCCTTCCTGCCCTCATGGCAGAAGCAGCCATAACTCCATTCTTCCAGGTCAAGGTTAAGTGGAGGCAATAGAGGAAAACACATAATATTATCTGGACCCTACACTCATGACACATGTACATGTGCAACCCCCTACGCACACAAACAAAAAAAATTAAAACTGAGTGAGTAAATTAATAATTGTTAGGATTTTTTATCATCAGTAGAAATTGTTGACCTTATATAAAAGTGTTTATGAAGGATGTATTATTATCTGTAATAATATTAT